TAGGATTGGGGCTAGAGAGGTAGTTTGTTTCTTATGTGAGGGCAAGGGTCACTATGCAAACGAATGCGGTTCAAGAAAGCACCTGAATTTGCCCTTTCGGGGAGATGGTGCGAAGTCAAGAAAGAGTTGACTACACTTGGGAAAAGGATTTGGAGAAGGGGGTAGAGTTGAAGAATGTGGGCGACTGTCGAGTGGTTGCAGGAAGGTTGCACTCAGATTCAGCAGTGCAGTATTGGAGGGAGGTAATAAAGCCAGCCCCGATTGTTATGGGTTGGTTAGAGAACAGAATTTCATTGTTCCCAAGAGGGGTAATGAGGTTAATAGGGCAAAAAGTGTCGAGACCCAGACAGTTTTCAATGGAGGAGGCTTCGTGGATAGAGCAAGAATTACAACGTTTAATCGAGTCAGGGGCGATAGGATTGGTGGGCGAAGGTTCGTTAAGGCCAGAATTTTTGCTGGAGGTGAGTCCTGTCTTTGTAGTTCCAAAGCAAGGAAAGAAGAAATTCAGATTGGTCATAGACCTCAGAAGACTCAATGCGACCTTGCCGAGAAAGTCTTTCAAGTTCGAGGGCATCGGGTCGCTTTTGCGAACTGTTGGAAGAGGTTGGTGGGTTTTAACCTTCGATTTGAAGGACGGATATCATTATGTAATGATGGACGACGTAGCTCAAAGATTCCTGGGTTTTGTCGTCAACAAAAAATGGTACTTTTACAAGGTTCTTCCTTTCGCCTAAATCAGTCTTCATGGATCTTTGCAAAGATAATGAAAGCGTTAATCGGAAATTGGAGAGCTCGGGGAATATATTGTGGGAACTATTTAAATGACTTTTGGGTGGCTTATTCATCAAGAGATGTATTGTTAAGACAACGGAGGGAGGTAATAAAAACGGATTTGGAGGGTTGTGGCTGGATTCAAGCAGAGGACAAAGGCAGTTGGGAGCCGACGCAGGGCCCAAGTTTTGTGAGCTAATTATCAACTTGAAAGAGGGTCTGGTAATCGCTCCAGAAGACAAGATCGCTACTACGGTTGGCCGTTTGGAGAATCTATTAGGAAAATCGGTAATCTCGGTATGGGACTTAGCTTTAGTCACGGGAAAGATTCAGAGCCTTGCAAGAGCATTTGCCCCAGCAAAGGTGAAAAGCTTGGAGTTTTACAGTTTAATAGACACGAAAAATCGGTTGTGAAGCGAGTAGAACCAGATGATAAAACTATCTTCTCAGGCAATAGAAGATGTAGAATGGCTAATACAGAATTTAAGAGCTTGGAATAGCCGTCCGGCATGGAAGCCATCCAGGGTGAAGGTGGTTTACGTGGATGCTTCCTTAATAGGTTGGAGTGGGGTGTTCAACAGCTTCGTGGCGAAAGGGAGTTGGTCACAAAGATTGACGGCAGATGTAATTGCACAGTTAGAGGCAATTGCAGTATTGCATGTACTCCAGGCATTCGGAGAGGTGTTAACTGGCTCTTGTATAACCCTGATGATAGACAACAAGGTTGCTTTGAAGTCGATTTTGAAAGGGGGTCCGTCAGATTGGCAGAAGGATATTTTGCGCGAGATTTGGAAGGTATGTTTAGAAAAGGATATAGAAATCTTCCAAGCCCTCTGGATTCCCAGTGAAAGGAATTTGGCTGATGTGTTACCAGAATATCCGATTTAGGAGATTGGACTTTAAGGACGGAAGTGGTAAGAGAATTGGAAGCTCGTTGGGGAAAATTCGATGTGGACAGATTTGCAAACCATCTGAACAGAAAATTAAAGAGGTTCAACAGTCTGCATTTCTGTCCAGGATCGGAAGCAGTAGACTGCTTCATGCAGGATTGGAAAGGTGTGGTAAACTATCTGTGCCCACCCTTTTCAATGGTTCATCATGCGTTAGTGCATGCGAAAGAATGCAGGGCTCTTATAGTAATCATTATTCCGGTATGGGTGGCAGCACCTTGGTGGCCAATTATAGTAAATGCGCAAGAAGAGGAAATGGATCTTCCACCACCAGTAGAGATTGTTTTGCCAGGTCCATCGGGTTGTCTGGAACCGTGCAACAACCTGAATTGGCGTTTGAAGGCAGTCCGAATAAGTTGGTGCAGGGACTCTTAGAGCGGGCAGAGTTTTTGGTTGATAATGCAATTAGTAGTTCTTACAAAAGAAGATTGGAAAAGGCTTGGATGATCTTTGAGGATTTTGCTAAAAGGATAAATTGTACTTTATGCCCTGCTTCGAACACGACAGTTTTAGTTTTCATAGCCTGGTTAGAGATGTCAGGACGTAGTTCTGATATTGCAGGCTATTTAACGACAGTGTCCAGGATGCATCGAGTCAAGGGTTTAGCGGACCCGACTAAAGGTAGTGCAGTGCAATGTCCGGTAAATAGTGTTAGAAAATGGGTAGCACGGGATGCTGAAGCAGATTGGCTGAGAGATCTGTTGTTAGTTGAAGCTATTAAGTTTTATTTAGATTGTCCTCCAGAAAATGTAAGTTATAAGTACTGGATTAGGGATCTTGCTTTAGTGGCTTTAGGGGTAAGAACGATGAGACATCCAGGGGAACTTTCAACTTGAAGAAAAAGGACCTTAAGTGGGTTGATGATATCTTGTGGGTAAAAGTAAACAAGTCGAAAACAGATCAACTTGCTAAAGGAAAGTTCATTTTCGTGGAGAAATCAAAAAATAGGTATTGTTCTGTTAAATTAGTAGAGGAGTATATTAAGATTAGACCTGAGATGGACGATGACGCTCTTCTTTTTCTGTCAAAGTCAGGACTTGACATGTCTGTACCTGCAATTTCAGCTATAGTTAAATGTATAGCAAAACATGCTCGTATTGAAGGGAGGTTTACTGCACATAGTTTGAGAATCAGTGGTGCAACAACAGCTATGAGAGGAGGTCTGTCTATGGAGCAGATTCAGACTATTGGCGGTTGGGTTTCAGATGCAGCTAGGTTGTACATTAGGGTGATAGGTATGGCAGATTTAGGTGCTTCAAGCATTATGGGTTTTGTCTGATTAGTAGTTAACCAGGAGGTTAGTGTTTATTGTTCTTGTAACAGTATTGAGAATCGAATCATTTTGCTTTAGAAAAAGAGGAAAGAGACATGACGATGCTCTATTAGTACCCGTATGTTGTTTCATGAAAAGTCACTAGCATATGAGAGACAAAACAATATTATAATAAAATTGGTGTTGGATTATAATCATAACATCTACTAGCGGACTAATCAAGATTGTTCAAGTATTGTAAAATAATTTTTTTGTGTTTCACGCCGTGTGTAAAATCAATTGTGTAACATCAACATTTTCTCCTGTTTGACGGATGTCACGATTTTACCTCTGACAATACGTAGGTATCAGCATAGCGGGCATTCAATGTGATTGGCCAATTTTTGTAGATTATCCCATGATACAGTAAAAATTTTATTGGTTAATCGAAATTAATCGAAGTTCTAAATTTTAACTAAATCGTCACGAATAAAATACTGACAGAGAGAAAAAATTTGCCTGAATTTTAGTTCTTTTTGATATTATAAATTAGAAAATCACTGAATTTTGATTAGTCGTGCGAAATTTTTTTGGTTGGTAACGCTGGTCAAATTTGCAGATAACTTGGCCGGATCTAGAACAAACCAACTTTTAATGTGGTCAAATGATCTGCAAGTTTGATTGATCATGTAATGCAAATCTCACTGTGTTTTGTTTTTCTTTCAGCAGCCTGTGCAGTGTCCCATCTATCCTACTTGTTACTTATTTGGATATTTGATTAAATAATTGGTTAAATAATTTATCGGCTATGACTGGTTATTTAACCGTATGACTGATCGCGATCGACTGGTCATGAGCGGTTAACCGATGATCGACCGAACCCATCCCTACTTATGCTAACACTAGCCCTAGCCCTACTGTTAATAAACTTTAAAATTTTTTTTGTTACGCACAATGATTGGCAAAACCTGGGACAGAATTTTTTCATACCATTTCTACACATAGTTGTTAACCAATTAAATTACCAAATTTTAAATTAATATAATTAAATAATTTATTAGCCAATGGTATTATTTGTATAACAATTTCAGAGATATATCTTAGGTATTTTGTATACTATTTTATAATCTTTGACTGTAGTATTATCGATGCTATGGATATAACTCAAAATTAATATAGAAATTTAGTCTACTGAAAAATGCAGGTTGGAATATAACCCAATGGAAATATAACTTGGGCATAACTGTATAAAAGAAAATTTAATAATGACAAAAAAAAAATTTCTTAGATAACTTAATTACTAACAGAGTAGTCTTAAACTAAATATGAAAATCTTTTTTTAATAATCAAAACATCCTTCATCATAGCAATGAATAACACCACAGTCAAAAAGATCTTGACTTGACATGGATGGTAGCTCACAAATTTCAAGCGTAGTTTCAGACAATGGAATTTCAAGCGTGGCTTCTTCAGGTGCTTCGCTAGATGCATCATTGCAGTAAAGGAAACATAACGATACAGTATCATTAGGATAAGCTGAAAGACCAAGGTTATCTGGAGATCCAAAAGCCCATTGATTACAATCATCATTCGAAAGACATTCTTTGCAACATTCTTCCGCAGTAAGAATGTCATCTCTTGGAGAAGAGTATTCAATTGTACCACGATGGCATTGATTTGTCCATCTTCTGCCAGATTTTATGCAGCAATCTTCACAAGGCTCAGTTTGCTCATATTCAGCATTTGCGAAAATTGTAAATGCCAGCAAGCATGAAAAAAAGATTAAGAATAAATTAAAGGCTTTGGGATTCATCGTTAATATAAAAGTAATTTACGGATTTAAAAAGATATTCTTAATTTAATGCAAAAGCAAGGTATTGATTATTGATGGTATGTAAAAAACTTTAGCATTTATATAAGGCCCAATAATATGTTTGTTATTTTATAATGTATCAAATGTTTCACAACTCTGATATGCATGAAATTATTATTTAAAGTAATTTTGCTCTTGTGCAACTTTAAGTGTCTAAAAATAGAGTGGTATTATAGTACGTACAGTTGAAAACTGGAGTATAAATGGACGTGTATAAAGGTCTGACTGCATTCTTCATGTATATTTTTATATTTTGTGTAAATTTTTAAGATAGATTTGTAGACACTTTCCAATGTTAGTAATAATACGTATCTTACTAGGAATTGGAGGAGTTTTCTCAGGTTGTGTTATCGTAGACGCATAAATTGGTTGACAATGTATTTTGTTAACACAATTTTCGACATTTCACATAGAAATTCTCATAATCAAATTTATCGTTGTAAAATGGCTTTGATTTACTAGCGTAAATGCAGAATACAACCACGATGTTACAGCTAATATAATAATGGATCATGGAACATGCTAAATATCATGTTTATTGAATTTATGACACTTGCAGAATTTATCAATAAGTACCAATTAAAATCGTATTATTGTTGCTTAATATAAATAAGATTTAGCATTACTTTTGACAAACAAATATAACATAAGGTAGCTGCGCAACGCTGTCACGCAAAACCAGGAACGGAAGGTAGATCTCGGAGTGAAACTTACATCAACATTAGGGTTCTTAGCACGATAAAAAAATCTGACATGCCAGATGGGATGGCATGCCAAGTTCTGAATTCCATGCTACATGCATGCCATATTCATATTGTTTATTTGGGTAAAAACTTTTTTTCTAAAGTTCAAAAATATGGATTGCGTCTTTATTTATTGTTATTAATGGCATGCTTTTAAACTCAATGGCCATCATGCTGAGAACCCTAATTAGCATTCACCAAATTTTCACCAGTTTCACCTGCAACTCTAATGGTGTATTATTGGGGTATTTTATGTACTAATTAATCAAACCTATATCAGATACAATAGTTAAAATTAATTTTACGGATTTTTTTTTTCAGGTTTAAAGAGCAATGTCTATGGCTCGTGATCTTTTATTAAGACTTACAACCTACAAATATTGTAGGAGGGTATTACATTTTGCATATCAATGAGGCTAAATTAGTCACTCATACAACTTTAGTCATTGTCTATTTAAAGGTTCTGCCTACAGGTTACCTACTAATTGTCATACCTGAAACCCACCTGTGGGTTTCCTATTTAAAGTCTCTGATTTTTAATGTTTTTTCTGTAGTACAACTTAATTTTTTAATAACAGACCTTAGGGTTACTTTACCTTCAATGTAAACTTTACTGAATGAAAGTAGATCTCATGATTACACCTATTTGGATTTATGACATCAGGGTGATTCCATATTAGGCAAGACCAATCCTTTCCACAAATATTGATGACATTCTTCACATTTCTTACTATAGTAATACCTCATACTCTGTCATATAGGTTTCCTTTTGGGAATTTCTTAAATCAAATATGTACCTTCACTTGAACTTTTATAAGATTTCATATCTGATTATAGGTTCTATTTTTGGTTATAGAGTATTTTATCTCCAACCAGACTTGAACTGTTAATCTTGTCTGTGGAGGGATGAGAGCTTAACAACTAAGCTATGGGACCTAATCTCTTAATTTTACAGATTTTTTATGAGAATACCTTATTATTTATCCAGATCTGTGTATAATAAAAAAATATTACTTTATTATTGTATTAGTAAAAATGTTCTTGTAAAATTTTCTTTAACTATACATTTGTGATGCATAAAATTTTGATATGATTACAAAAAAGACATAACAAGATCTGTTTTATGTACTTATTTATTGTAAAATAACTATTTAAGATATTTATAACTTTATTTATAATTATGTTAATAAAACCTAGATTTTTTTTTTTAAAAAAAAGCATTGCATATTTATAACAACCAAATACAATTAAAATTATATAGATATTCAATCAAATATTAATTTATATAAAGATAAGTATTTATGTTTATATTAAATATTTAATAACTAGATATAAAAAATTAATGCTGATACTTTTAATTTTATAGACCCAATAAGCCTTAGTGACTTATAAACAGTTCTTTAAAAAGATTATCTGCATTTTGTTTCTATTGAATATCCAATTAAAAAACTGGTGTAGTAGAATTTTGTTAGTGAGTTATTTGACTTTCATTTTAAAAAGCTTTAACTGTTTATTGGTAAATTGAAAATCTTTTATTCTACAAAGATATATCTTTGATTGTTGAGTACTATTAGTCATGTTTGAGTAGGTTTTTAAATCCCACTTATTGAATAGGCCTTCAATTTGTTGCTGATAAACAATAATGTACTAAATTTTGTTTTTAACAAAATCATAAAGTTACAAATATTAATAAAAAAGAATATTTAGTTTATAATAAACATGATAAATTCTTTTAAGAATAATTCATTAGTTGTACAGTTTTAAAACTGAAATCATTAGACCTCCTTCTTTAATATTTATTTCAAGAAAGTTTGCCTAACTAAGTTCTTCTGAGCTAGGAAGCTATAGTCAAAATTGCTTAAGCACAACATGTCAATAGTTATATGCAAATTGTTGAACATTGTCTTTATCAAGACAACAAATACTTAAAGAAAGATAAAGCTAACAGATTAATCATTTTTGTTACAATTCATACCTTTTTGTATTCTATATTATAAATTTTGAACTAATGTATTAATTTCTAAATTATTTATTATTTTTTTATTTTGTAGAAGCTCAACATTAAAGAACATATAAAGATTTTTTAGAATGTTTACAAAGTTAGGTATAGTATTAACTATAAAGTCTGATATTTAATGTGCTTAACAGTCAGATGATAAATATTGCAATAAATTTGATTATATATTTCTAAAATGCAGATCATGTCTAACTAGAAACTTTATAAATGGTTGATAACATTCTTGACCAAACTTACAAAACATTGAACTTCAATATTTAATCTAGAATTAGTTAGTTAAGTTTGGAATAATTTTTATTTTTGTATATAAGAAATAAGTATTTTTTTAATGCTTTAAGTTTAGAAATAAACTATATACTAAACTTCAAATGAATTTCATATCTTTCAGTAGTAGTTAATTTATATTGTTATCTTAAGTATAAAAATTGTTAATGTTTGGTTAATTGGTAATCAAAATATGTTTTATAAAGTTTTTGAATAATTTTACTTCTTATATTTAATGATAAATCTTTATCACTTAGATTATATTTATTATATAAAATCTATACCAAATAGAAAAAATTGTGTGAATGATAAGTTTTGGAAAATCTAATAACTATTGAAAGCTTACCAAAAGCTACTTATTTAAAATTATTTAAAACTAAGTATAGTACATATAACTTATAAGGTATTTAAACACAATTACTTTGAATTAATTAATTGAATTTTGTTACAGTACCATCAACTTGGCTACTCTATAATTTGTATTGTTTGAAAAAAAAGTAAAACATTGTTTGGTATTTAACTTATATTTTGTACAAGTTTTTGCAAAAGCTTTACTAATAGTATCAGAATTGTATTGTATTAGATTATTTGTTTCTAATAGTATAGTATCAGACATATTTTTGATAAATTCCAAAACATGAAACATTCAATAAATATTTATTTCATTTTGATCTGATTTATTTGTTATAATTTTAAAGTTTAAATAATTTAACTAATATGCTTGTGAAAATATATTTTTATATATAATTCAGATATTTTTTTTTTTTTTTTTGGTATTAAGGTGACCTCTTTGGTCTTTTGACTTTTATTAATCACTTATCGGTATTGTGGT